AGAGAGAGAGAGAGAGAGAGAGAGAGAGAGAAGAGATAGAGAGGGAGAGAGAGAGAGGGGGGGGATAGAGAGAGGTGAAACCGCATGGATGATTAACTGCTTACAACATCGCAATTTTAGTAATAATGCAATCGCAGTAAAATGCACAATGCGAAGAAATCGACTATCGCTATAATGACCAAGCAAAGGTGTGCGCAAAATTAAATATTAATGCCTTTGTTTGATCAACACTAAGTGGATTAAATCGGTGGTATTTTACCTATCGTAATGCCGCCGTGAAATGTTTTTATCGTGGTTTTAACTCTTGCGCCAATACTTTACGTTCATGAATTATACATATATGACAGTAAATATATTCATGAATTTCTTACGTAATTGTGAAACAAGTCTGAGAATTGAGCCATTTTGTGTAAACTCAGCCGATAAAAAAGCCTCACTAGTGGTACGATCAAGGTCCAGTTCATGTTTCATTAACCTTGCACGATTGGAAAACTGATGGATCGGAAAACTGATTTCTTGAACACGTTTTTTCTTTGCGTAAAATCGCCGAAAAGTAAACGAAAGAACAAATAAAAATTCTTGCATCGCAGCTCCACCTAGTGTCCAAATAATAGGACAACGAGAGCCCGAAGTAGATTTTATTCTTGCAATCAACAGTCACACAAATATTTAATAAAAAATCACAATAGTGCCAATACCGTAAAATCAAACTCTTATCAATAAATTATAATACAAAACCGGACACATCCGAACTTTCTAAGCAACGTAGTGCGACCAGAATATTTATCTACGATCATAAATGTTTCGATAAGTCTGTAATTTGCAATCAATGTAGCAAGCTCATTATGTACATTCACGTTGTATTAACAATAGTCCATATATACAGATTATTATCATCAAGTATCAGTCATCATCATCGATTAATTATCAATTCATAAAAAATCGTAACGATCAGATGAACTACTATGCAAATCAATAGCCCTAAGTGAGGCCCTATTCGATATATTCTATCGTTCTGTCGTGATACTTTCTCGCTTTCCGATTCGAAAAAAATCCTTCGTAAGATAAAAATGACTACGAAAAATCTCCTTTTTATAGTCTATCTTTTCATTTTTACTATCTCTAGTAAACTCTACTTGTAATCGTACTTGTAAACTCTACTAATCTCTAGTTGTGAAGACGTGATACCCTTTCGTGAGACGGTCGGGGATCTTCAAACTAAATCTAATCAAATTCCCTCCTCCCCCCCAAACTAAAAAAGAAACCAGAGGAAAAGAAACTAAAGCTCACACGCACCTCACCCTACGACTCCCCGCACAAAAACCACTTTCGAAAAATTCCCCCACGAACCCTCTCCCCGGACTTCCTCTCTTTATTCCCCCACGAACCCTCTCCCCGGACTTCCTCTCTTTATTCCCCCACGAACCCTCTCCCCGGACTTCCTCTCTTTATTCCCCCACGAACAC